GTGGGATTGTCAGGGTGACCATCCTCACGGCATCCGCATCTCCTGGGCCCCTCGCGGGCGGACACGCAGACCCGTAGCCACAGCCTCGCGGGCTGGCACTATAGAGGCTGCGCGGCGCTGCCCCCGCCCTGGCGCCCCTCAGGCCGGCTCCCCCTCGACGGCCTCCGGGGCCCGGCGAGGGCCCCGCGAGGCCGAACACGGCTCCGAGCCTCCCGTCGCGATGGCTTCGCTGCGCGAGCCTGTCGGGAGAAACCAAAATCAAGAGCTCCCATCGCCCCGTAAGGAACTCACGGCGGGAGGTTTTTCCTCCCCTATTTTTTGGGGGCCTCTGGGGGGCCTCGCCGGCCCGGGGGCCGTCCAAAAACGACTCTGGACGACAGGCCGGTCCCGGGGAAGGGGTCGAGACCTCTGGGGGTCGACGTTACGAAAAAATCACGACGTCGGGGGTTTGGGAAGGTACCGCCACTCCTAGGACCTCTCCGGCGGTGCGTCCTGGCCAGGATTTCGGGGCGGACCAGGCAGTGGCGCCGAGCTCGCCTCCTAGGAGGCCCAAGAGGGGGAAGACGAGGGAAGGGTAGCGGCATGAGTAATTAATGACCCTTCTCTCTTCTGTATGTCCAGAGATCCGTCGTCATGATTTTTTCAAGGCGGGGTCCCCAGAAGTCTCGACCCATTCCCCAGGACTGGTTTTTCATCCTGCGTCGTTTCTTGACGGTCCTGGGGCCCAGCGAGGGCCCCCCCAGAGGCCGAAACAATCGAAACCGTCCGTCTGCAGTTTTTCAACATTTGGGTGTCTGCTGGGATCGCCGCGGGGGTTGCTAAGTGGATAGGGGCGGGGCGGTTACCCGATGCCAAGGTGGGTCATATTTGACCCAACCTGGCTTATCAGTGGGTTGCAAGTTCCCCGAGTGGCGTAGGGGGGTTCGATTACTCCGCTAAGTGGGTGGAGCCCACTTAGCCTGGATCGCTCACCCCCCTAGGCTACTTGGGGCACTCGTAGCCCACTTAAGCCAGGTTTGGCCAGATCTAACCGACCGTCGCATCCACGTGTAACCCCCCATCCACTTAGCATGGAGCCGGTCCTGTGGACTACCGTTGGCAATCTTTGCATATTTGTTTGAGTATGTTATTATCTTTCGCCCCAAATCCGCCTGTATAGGGAGACATGCCCGACCGAAGTCTGGGAGGAGGCCGCCAGACCCCCCCGGGCGCCAGCTGACCCCCGCGCTGCCGCCGCTGCGCGGTGCGGGCCCGGCCTGGGCGGCGCAGCCGCTGGGCCCGGGGGGCGGCCGGGCGGGGCTGCTGCGCGGCGGCGCCGCGGCGGCGCTGCTGGCGGGGAGCGCCGCGGAGGCCAAGGACGTCGGGCGCCCGCGCCGCCTGCGTGCCCAGACAGGCTCGCGTCGTAGAAGAGAGAATCAGGACGGGAGGTTTTTGGCCATTTTCGGCCTCGGGGTGTCCTCGCCGGGCCTCGGGGGCGTCAAGAAACGACTCGGGACGAAAAACCGGTCCCGGGGGAAAGGGCCGAGACTTCCAGGGACGCCTTCCCGAAAAGTCAGGACGTCGCATGTCTGGATGTCCTTGTCCCCTCCCGGCCTTGCAGGGCTCATTTCGATTTCCCCGATACGATTTGGTTCGATTTCGATGGCTTCCGATTCCGAGTCGATTCGACTTCGGATTCCGATTTGGGCTCCGATTTCTTGACGAGGCGCTGCTATTCTGCCGATTTCAGCCGGTTCGACTTCTCCCGACTTGGCTGCCGATTTTCGCCGGTCCGATTCATTCCGATCGCCGATTCGACTTACCGATTCGAATCTGGGCTCTCCTGGTCGGGCGCCCACGCCACCTGCGTGTCCTTCTCCCCTCCTGGCCTCGAGTCGGGCGCGTCCCTCAACAGGAGGAATCTACCCAGACATGCTCGCGTCGTGAACAAGAATCCGGATGGAGGTTTTCCGCCGTGTTCGGACTCCGGAGGCCTTCGCTGGGCCTTGGACCATGAAAAACGACGCAGGATGAAAAACCGGCCCCGGGGAAAGGGTCGGGACTTCGGGGACGCCGTATTGAAGAAATCAGGACGTCGCATGGCTGGGTCTGAAGCTTGAGGTTTTTGGCGTTTCCGTCGGTTCTCTCAATGGTTCTCCAGCCTCGGGGTGCGTTCCAGCAGCTGCGCCTCGCCGAGGGCGTTCCAGGGGAGAACGTTAGGGGACAACGTTAGGGGGGGGATAGGCTCAGGACGACCCCCGGTCGCTCATTCATCGCCGACAGGGGCTCGATCCTCTCACCCCGCCTGGAACGTCCGGTTTCGCTGCTTCCGCCGATCCATCGGTGCCGTATCGCCGATTGCATCTCGAAGTTCCGCCCTTAGCTGGTCCTTCGCCCCCTAACGTTCCGTTGCCCCGCACCCTCTCCTCCGACGGGGGGCGCTCGGGAGAGGGGCTCGCCTTAGGGGTCGAAGGAGTTGGCATCCTCTCTCTTGGTGAGAGGCTGGCGGAAGGGCGGCATAAGCCGGCGGCAGTCAAGCTCAGAGGAGTGTACTTGGCGGTCACTGAAAGGATTCCCATATCCCAGTAATTCAAATGCACTATTTGATATGCTTTCGCTGCGTTGTGTGATTCTCTGGGAGGACCTGGACCCAATCTAGTCTATCCGCCTTCCTACTTCATGTGTTGACCTGTTTCTTCCGACCGACGTGTACCCATACCGCTACCCTGGCCTCGTGTTCCCCTTCTTGGGCCTCCTATGGGAGGCCCTCGTCGCCACCGATGCGCCCCGAAATTCTGGTCAGGGCGCACCCCTGGCGAGGTCCGGGGAGTGGCGGTAGCGGTACCTCCTGGTTCCCCCACAAAGCGGCGGCGGCCTCGCCCGCGGAAGCCGAGCGGGCGGAATTTCTATCTATCTGCACCCGTAATGGCAGGACATGTTAGGTTCCCGAGGTCGAGGGTTCCCGAAGCCGCTGCGCGGCAGCGTTTTCGCGACGTCGGCCCACGGGGGGTCCGACGCTCCCCCCTTGGGGCCAGCTCTCCGCTCGGACTCGTCTTCGGACGGCCCTGGAGCCGGGGAGCGGCCTCCAGGCGAGCGCGCGCCCCGGGCCGGGCTGGGGAGGTGCTTCTCTTCTTGCGCGGGATCGTTCACATGTTCGGAGCCCCTCTCTTGTGGACCAGCCACGCGCAGAGGGGGCTCATGGGGGAGGGGGGAAGACTTCTCAGAAGCACCCTGCGCCTCAGAAGCCGCGGGCCTCATCTGTAGATGCAAAAGGCCCACGCCTTCTCAGAAGCAGCCCTCCTTCCAAGAAGCCTTCCCGCCCCTCCCTCCCGCCCCGAGGAGGAGGAGGAGGAGGAGGAGGAGGAGGAGGACGAGGACGAGGAGGACGAGGAAGAGGAGGAGGAGGAGGAGGAGGAGGGAGGAGGAGGAGGAGGAGGAGGACAGAAGGAGGAGGAGGAGGAGGACAGAAGGAGGAGGACAGAAGGAGGAGGAGGAGGAGGAGGAGGAGGAGGAGGAGGAGGAGGAGTAGGAGGAGGAGGACGAGGAGGAGCAGCCTCCTTCAAAGAAGCCTCCAGCTCCCCTTTGTACGCGCCGCCAGATGGGGGATGGGCAGCGCCCCCTTTCACCAAGAACACCCTGCAGTGCCATGGGCCCCGGGGGCCAGAAGCTCCCCCCCGGTCGCAGGCCCGCAGCACGCGACGGCGGTGGCACCCTCTCGAGACGCTGCTGGGGAGCTGGAAGTAAGCCGGGCCTGTCCCTCTACAGGTGGAACATTTAAAACTACAACCCTCGTCGAAATTGAACGCAAGTTTTTTCCACCCCCGTCGCCCCAAAATTTCAATGTTCATCGACAGGCGCATCGCGGCCGGCGGGGTCCGAAGAAAATCTCGAAGTCGCCGGCGTCGGCGTGAACATTGAAATTGGGGGTCGGGGGGCGCCGCCAGGTCGCGGCTAAAACTTGCGTTCAATTTCGACGAGGGATGTAGTAGGAAAACAGTCTGAGGACGATCTTCGACAATGTCCCAACAATTTTAGTATATTTTGTTGCCTGTTTTTGATCTGTCATTTATCATTACTCCGACGGAAGGACCCCGCATGAGAATCCTCTGGGCGAATCTGGGAAAAGCCCTCACCGTCGTCCTCGTGGTTGGTGAGGCGTCCTGGCTGTCTCTTCTGCGTATATTTCTTCTCGCCCTGGCGCGGGCCCTCCCCCCGCTCCCTACGTTGCCCCCGACCTCGCCCTCTTGTTTTGGGCTCCGGACATTCAGAAAGTGGCCCGGGAGTGGTGTTCTGGGAACACGAAGAACACGAAGTGTCTCCGGGCATTCAAAATGTGGCTTGGGAATGGCGTTCTGGCAGCGCGAGAGCCCAAAAGTGGCGACAGCTACAGGAATTGGATGACCCGCTCGGATTAGTAACATGATCCGCGGGCCCCATAGGGAGGGGGCTCCCGCTTGAGACTTCTTCGCAATTCACTCACAGATGTGGCCTGGGAATGGCGTTCTGGCAGCGCGAGAGCCCAAAAGTGGCGACAGTTACAAGAATTGGATGACCCGTTCGGATTAGTAACATGATCCGCGGGCCCCATAGAGGGGGCTCCCGCTTGAGACTTCTTCGCAATTCACTCACAGATGTGGCCTGGGAATGGCGTTCTGGCAGCGCGAGAGCCCAAAAGTGGCGACAGTTACAGGAACTGGATGACCCGCTCGGATTAGTAACATGATCCGCGGGCCCCATAGGGAGGGGGCTCCCGCTTGAGGCTTCCTCGGAATTCACTCACAGACGAGGCCCAAGGCGAGTGAGTGAGTGAGTGAGTGAGTGACTGACTGACTGACTGGTGATGATGATGATCATCACACTCTCTCGCGCGCACACTCATCATCATCATATGTGAGTGCTGATGAGTGAGTGAGTGAGTGAGTGAGTGAGTGAATGAATGAGTGAGTGAGTGAGTGAGTGCGTGAGTGTGTGAGGGATGATGAGTGAGTGAGTGAGTGAGTGAGGATTGAGTGACGATGACGATGGTGGGCTCCTGCTCCTGCGCGGGGTGTCCAGAGAAAACAAGAACCCCACTTTTGGATGTGGGAAAAAAAAAACCGCCTGTGGGGGAAATGCCCGACCTAAAGCTGGAAGCGCATGGCGCGGCTGGCCTGGGCGAGAGTTGGATACACACACGTGAGCGACGGCGGACCACGGCTTCGTCTCCACCGACAGCGGCGCGGAGGCTGCCCGCGTGAGCTCGCGCGCGTAGGCGCCCTCGTCTCCCAGCGTGGCGTGCCGCGCGGGCGGCCCGCGTCAAGCGGCGGCGTTAAGGTCGCTGTGCCATCTCGCGTAAGACCCGTTTTTGGTCGCTCGCGTAAGACCCGTTTTTGGTCGTCGCTCACATTTTTGGTCGTCACATCGTAAGACCCCATGTGGCAAGGTGTCTTTCCATCGCTCGGCCCTTCTATTGTCATGCACGCCGCGTTTGCGCATGTGTGTCCCGCAGGTGGACTCCGGGTGTTCTTCGTGTGAATCCAGCTATGGGCGTTTCCAGCTTCCTAGTAAGAAAGGTCCCACGGGCGGATTCGTGATTCGAGCTGGCAGGGGGGGGTTCTACTGGTCCCCGTTTATTCTCTTGCACAGCCTCGTTCTCGAGCTCGTGCTCCTGTATGTTCGCTCGTTCGCCGTCGTCGTTCGTTCCCCCCCCGTCTGGCCCTCCGACCCCGGGCCTCAACCACCCCCTCCTTGGTCCTGGGTCCGTTCCCCCTTGCCTTCGTGCTACTTCCTGGTCCTTTTCCTCCCCCTTGTTTGCACAGATGTGTGCCATAATTTAGAGCAGTTCATTATCTTGCGCAGCTGGGTCTTTAGAGCGCGGAGCCCTCTAATTTCGTCGATGTTCGCTTGTCCATTCGTCGCCCTCCACGTCCGCCTACACCCGCCTCTACACCTGTCTTCCTACTATGGCGCCACGGAAGCCCCAAGATGGCCATCCGTAGCAATTTTGGCCCAAGCTGGATTAGATTCAGCGTTGTATATTGGTACGGCTATCCTTCCGCTGATCAGTGGGCGTTCAGTGGCGTCCTCCTTTCGTAGAGCATCCCCTGACCTTGCTGCCTTGAGTGCGGCGCGTTTCTGCTCCACCCCGCCAGAACCAGCCCGCCAAGAGTTTCAAGCACAATCAAAGCTATGCGCTCTGACATGCGCGCGCCTATCGAAGGAGCAAATCGAGATGACCCGCGTTTCCCATTCAAGCTCAGGGCGACCCAAGGGTGTCCGCACTGTCGTCGGCCCGACGCGTGCAGAGCTTGGAGAGCAGAGATGCTCCAGGTGTGGTTTGCAGAAGTCGCCCGGCGAATACCACAAGCACCGAGCAGGAACAACTGGGCGGCAGTGTTATTGCAAGACGTGTTCTTCTGCAACAGCTCGACAATGGAGAAGTACGCTGCGGGGCTCAGTCTCTGTATTGGTGGCAAGTGCCCGAAGCACCTCCAGGGCCAGAGGCTTGCCTTCCAACATTTGCGTGGACGACATTTTGTGCCTGCTGTCCAAGCAGTCAGGTCGCCGTTTTCATTCGGGAGTCCAGACGGGATGCTGCGTCCCCAATTCCCATTGGCGAATGTCCCTGGAACGCGTGGATAACTGCGGAGGCTACACAGTGAGTAGTTGCGTGCTCATAGCAGCCGAGTTCAGCTCTGGGGATGCGTTCCGAAACAAGATGGCTCACAAAGTGTGCGGTACAGCGCAATGGTCAAGCAATAAAGTGCATGACGTGTTGACCTTGCGGAACCTCAGAGTTGATTGTGTGCGACTGGAGCAGTTGATTGACGAGGCGCGCTCTCCACGCCTTGGCCGGCAGCATGTGGGCTGAGCAAATTTGGGGGTGGAAGTGTTCGCATCCCATTTTTATTGTGACCAGTGCGCTGAAGGGCAAGCGGTGCAGCCTTGCACCGATTTCTCCCTACATTGCGCTGCTGCCAGCGAGCACGCACGTTCAAATATTGCCGTACACTCCGAGGCAGCATGATGACCTTGTTAGGTTCAGCGCGACACAGAGCAGCTAAGCGAGGACAGGCTTGCGATTTGACTTTGGATATGTTGTAAGACAAGTTATGGCAACAGGAGGGGCGATGCTACTACTCAGGAGTTCCAGTAAAGTATCTGATCCCGAACTCAGATTGGCGAATCTCGCCCGAGCGTCTTGACAACGACTCCAGATACACCGCCAAAGATTCCGTCTTCGTTGCATTTGAATTCAACACACCAGATTTCAGCCGTGGCAAGCTGACACATGCAGTGCGAGGGACCGCGCAGTGGTCCAGGGAAAAGGTTGACTTCGTCTGGGGCGGCACGCGCGATTGAGTCGCGCGATTGAGGAAAAAACAAGACGGCCCCAAGATCAGAGCGAGGGGGCCGAACGGTCATTCATTGTCCCTAGGTGCGTGGCTGAAGTGAGAATCCGTGGTGAGGATTATGTTTGTTGCGTTGTTGTTGTTGTTGTTGCTGTTGCTGTTGCTGTTGTTGTTGTTGCTGCTTTTTGTTGAACATTATTACTTCTAAAGAATAATTATTGTTGGGACCCCTGGTGCGCGACCCCCCTCCAAAACCTAGGCCGCAGCTACATTTTCATCATTTTTTAGCGAAAGCTTCAGAAAAGTGAATTATTACCGGATCCGGTTGTTTTGTTGTACTCCGTTTTCCCTTGCAAAAAACACTATAAAATGAAAATTCTTGTTCTTACTTGATCAAATTGCAAGAATCCCTTGCAAAAAATAAGGTAAAGTGGACATTCGTGCGCGCAAGACGAAATCCTTCCAAAAGCTTAGTGTTCGGAGCGATTTTAACATAAAAACATCAAAAACCAATGGTTTTTCAACAAAAAAATGTCAAAATCTCATCCCGCGCGCTCTTGCGGATTCGTAGGAAAACCAACACTTTTTAAACATTTCTGTCAAACGGGCTTTTGCGAGCAACTTTTTCGAACTTCTGCGACAACGGTTGCGCACCTGCCAGGGCCATCATCCCTGTCAAATAATACCATGCGGGACACATTCGTCTCTCTGTATTATGTATTGTATGGCACAATTGCACCATGCTGGGCACATGCGCGCCCCGAATAAGTGACCAAGTTCTGTGGGTGTGTACCCCACGCCAGTGTAGTAGCCACGGTCGTCCGCACGCCACGAAGTGAAGTGTCCCAACGTCATAGGGCGGGAAGCTGGGTTTGGGTGGTCGCGAAGAGTCGTTTGGATATTTGGTAGAGCTTGTAATGCCCCCCCACGAAGTGGGGGTATTGCCTGGTGTCGTATGAAAACCCTGGCACTGGGGAGAACACCACGCGTTCGGGTAAAATGATTGTTGTTGTTGTTGTTGTTGTTGTTGTTGTTGTTGTTGTTGACCCCTGGTGCACGCCCCCCCTGCGCGCCTAGGCCGCAGCTACATTTTCATCATTTTCGTGAGGAAGCCTCAGGTAATTCGATGTGATCAAGATCCGGTTGTTTTGTTCCCCCCCGCTTTCCCTTGCAAAAAACACTATAAAATGACATTTCTTGTTCTAATATAATCAAATTTCAAGAATCCCTTGCAAAAAATAAGGTAAAGTGGACATTCGCGCGCGCAAGACGAAATCCTTCCAAAAGCTTAGTGTTCGGAGCGATTTTAACATAAAAACATAAAAAACCAATGGTTTTTCAACAAAAAAATGTCAAAATCTCATCCCGCGCGCTCTTGCGGATTCGTAGGAAAACCAACACTTTTTAAACATTTCTGTCAAACGGGCTTTTGCGAGCAACTTTTTCGAACTTCTGCGACAACGGTTGCGCACCTGCCAGGGCCATCATCCCTGTCAAATAATACCATGCGGGACACATTCGTTTTTTCTTCGCGCGCGCACGCCGAAATCTCCAAAAACCATTGGGTTCTTAAGAATTTTAGCACCGCGCATCATAAAATCACACGAATCGCACCGTAGGTCCTCGAAAAACACCTGCACGACTTTTCAAAATTTCCACCCGCGCGCGCTGTCTGCTCTCTGTCTCTCTCTCTGTCTCTCTGTATTATGTATTGTATGGCACAATTGCACCATGCTGGGCACATGCGCGCCCCGAATAAGTGACCAAGTTCTGTGGGTGTGTACCCCACGCCAGTGTAGTAGCCACGGTCGTCCGCACGCCACGAAGTGAAGTGTCCCAACGTCATAGGGCGGGAAGCTGGGTTTGGGTGGTCGCGAAGAGTCGTTTGGATATTTGGTAGAGCTTGTAATGCCCCCCCACGAAGTGGGGGTATTGCCTGGTGTCGTATGAAAACCCTGGCACTGGGGAGAACACCACGCGTTCGGGTAAAATGATTGAACATTATTTCTTCTTAAGAATAATTATTGTTGGGACCCCTGGTGCACGGCCCCCCCGCCGCGCCTAGGCCGCAGCTACATTTTCATCATTTTCGTGAGGAAGTCTCAGGCAAAACGATTGTGTCCGGATCCGGTTGTTTTGTTCCCCCCCGCTTTCCCTTGTAAAAAATACTATAAAATGAAAATTCTTGTTCTTACTTGATCAAATTGCAAGAATCCCTTGCAAAAAATAAGGTAAAGTGGACATTCGTGCGCGCAAGACGAAATCCTTCCAAAACCTTAGGTTTCGTAACGATTTTAACATAAAAACATCAAAAACCCAATGGTTTTTTAAGAAAAAATTGTCAAAATGTTCTTCCGCGCGCTCTTGCGGATTCGTAGGAAAACCAACACTTTTTAAACAATTCTGTCAAACGGGCTTTTGCGAGCAACTTTTTCGAACTTCTGCGACAACGTTTGCGCACCTGCCAGGGCCATCATCCCTGTCAAATAATACCATGCGGGACACATTCGTTTTTTCTTCGCGCGCGCACGCCGAAATCTCAAAAAACCATTGGGTTTTAAGAATTTTAGCACCGCGCATCATAAAATCACACGAATCGCACCGTAGGTCCTCGAAAAACACCTGCACGACTTTTCAAAATTTCCACCCGCGCGCGCTGTCCTCTGTCTCTCTCTCTGTCTTTGTACTATGTATGTCATGCGCAACAAATGCACGATGCGGGGCACATGCGGGGCCCAAACAAGTGATCAACCTCTGCGGGTGTGTACTCCACGCCAGTGTAGTATCCACGATCGTCCGCGCGCCACGAAGTGAAGTGTCCTGACGTCATAGGGCGGGAAGCTGGGTGTGGGTGGTTCCCGAGAGTCGTGTGGATGTTTGGTAGAGCTTGCATTGCCCCCCCACGAAGTGGGGGTATTGGCTGGCGTCGCATGAAAACCCTGGCACTGGGGAGAACACTGAGCGTTCGGGTAAAATGATTGTTGTTGTTGTTGTTGTTGTTGTTGTTGTTGTTGTTGTTGTTGTTGTTGTTGTTGTTGTTGTTGTTGTTGAATTCTCATTTCTGAAGAATAATTACTGTTGGTCCCCCCCACCAGTGCATACTGTTTTTTCTCAATCAAAGTGTGCCCCTCGACGCTCGCACCTTGTTTTTTGACAGGGAAAGTCTTCCTGCTCAAACTGCCCCCCTGGCCCCCGGGTTACAACAACAACGGCTCCCGCCTTCCTTAGAATTTAGGCAGGACCCCCGCTCCCGCCCGAGACTTCCTCGCATTTTATTCAGGAATCGCGCTCTCGCTTGGGACTTCCTTACAATTTATTCCGGAATCGCTCTCCCGGAGCTCTGGAGTCGCGCTCTCGCTGGAGACTTACTTGCAACTTACTGAAGAATAGCCTTGCGTTGGAATTTCCTGCAATTTGCCCAAGCGCCGCGCTCCCGACACCCAGGCACCCAGGAGTCGCGCCCGTTGTGGCCCCGTGTGCGTGCTCTTCGTGGCCCCGCTGTCGCCATTTGTGTCCCCCTCATTGTCCTACGTGGCCCAGTTGCTACCCTCAGTGGCCCCATAGTTGCCTTCTGTGGCCCCGCATTATCTCACGAGCGAAAGCAGGACGTACATGTACATGAATCCACGCTGGTTTCGAGAGCACGCATTGCACAAATGTTCGTATAACGCGGCCAGTCTCGCGAATCGAGGGGCCGTGTTCATGTACATAGCTGGGCGCGTACGTCCTTTGTGGGCTCCCTATTATCCGCACTTCGTGGCCCCCGCTCGTTCGCACTCTTCGTGGCCCCATATGCATTCCCTTGCCGACGGTCCGCGGCCGCCTCGCCGCTTGCCGGGGCCGGGCCTGTAGGGAAGAAAAGTATTCCCCCCAAAAGGGATTCGATCGAAGACGAAGAGGGCGGGTATCGAGGGTTTGGGAAATACGTGTTATTGGACACTCGAGCATATAAGAGCGAACAGTCTTGAAATGATTGTTGTTGTTGTTGGTGTGCTTGGTGTTGTTGTTGGTGTTGTTGGTGTTGTTGGTGTTGTTGCTGTTGTTGGTGTTGTTGCTGTTAGTTTTGTTGTTATACTTGTTATGCTTGTTGTTGTTGTTGTGGCTGTAGTTGTGGTTGTGGTGGTTGTTGTTGTTGTTGGTGGTGGTGGTGTTGTTGTTGTTGAACATTATTTATTCTAAAGAATAATTATTGTTGGGCCCCCTGGTGCGCGCCCCCCCTGCGCCGCCTAGGCCGCAGCTACATTTTCATCATTTTCGTGAGGAAGCCTCAGAAAAGAGGGTGTGTACAGGATCCGGTTGTTTTGTTGTAATCCGCTTTCCCTTGCAAAAAACAATAGAAAATGACATTTCTTGTTCTAATATAATCAAATTTCAAGAATCCCTTGCAAAAAATAAGGTAAAGTGGACATTCGCGCGCGCAAGACGAAATCCTTCCAAAACTTAGTGTTCGGAGCGATTTTAACATAAAAACATCAAAAAACCAATGGTTTTTCAACAAAAAAATGTCAAAATCTCATCCCGCGCGCTCTTGCGGATTCGTAGGAAACCCAACACTTTTTAAACATTTCTGTCAAACGGGCTTTTGCGAGCAACTTTTTCGAACTTCTGCGACAACGGTTGCGCACCTGCCAGGGCCATCATCCCTGTCAAATAATACCATGCGGGACACATTCGTTTTTTCTTCGCGCGCGCACGCCGTCGTCGTCGGCCGCGGGGCCCTGAATAGTAGCCACGGTCGTCCGCATGCCACGAAGTGAAGTGTCCGAACGTCATAGGGCGGGAAGCTGGGTGTGGGTGGTGGCGAAGAGTCGTTTGGAAATTTGGTAGAGCTTGAACCGGCCCCCCCACAAAGTGGGGGTATTGCCCGCCTCCTATGAAAACCCTGGCACTGGTGAGAACGGAGTGTCCCCACGTGCTAGTAATTGTTGTTGTTGTTGTTGTTGTTGTTGTTGTTGTTGTTGTTGTTGTTGTTGTTGTTGTTGTTGTTGTTGTTGTTGTTGTTGTTGTTGTTGTTAGTTATGTATTTGTTATTGTTCTTGTTAATGATCTTGTTGTTCTTGTTGTGATTTGTTGTCGTCCCCCCGGCGACCAACCCCGCGACCCACCCCGCGACCCACCCCGCGACTCACCCCGCGACCCACCCCGCGACCCACCCGCGACCCAACCCGCGACCCACCCGCGACCTACCCGCCACCCACCCGCGACCCACCCGCGACCCACCCGCGACCCAACCCGCGATCCACCCGCGACCTGCCCCGCGGCCCATCCGCGACCCACCCGCAACCCACCCGCGACCCACTTGCCACTGACCCGCCACCCACCCCGCGACCCACCCGCAACCCACCCGCGACCCACCCGCGACCCACCCGCGACCGATCCACATTGGTTCGACGAAAAGATCGGCGCTTGCGGCGGGCTCGTTGTATAATTTGTGAAACTTTGGCGCTTGCGGAGAGCTTCTCCAGATTCTCGCAGACTGCCGACATCCCCACCGCCCCCTCTTATCCGCATCTGCGGGGTGCTACGTACTCCTGCCTCCTCACCCTACACCTCATGTCCCTGGCCGCTCCCTCGTTCAAAAGCCAGGGCACGCGTGCCGCTTGTTTATTGCCGTGGTGGCTTGTGGCTCGTACCCCTTTTCCCCCCTTGCCCCGCCTCGACATTTCCCTGCCCCAGTGGCCCTGGCACCCGCCCCCCCTGGCCCCATAACCGATGTCGCAGTTCGTCGCGCTGGATCGTGGATCGCCCCCCTTGCTCCCCCTCCCCTGGCTTAGACCTGACTCCGCCCCCGGCCTTGGCCCCTTCCCCCTGGCCACAGCCCCCCCCCAAACCCCAGAGCAGGCCCCAGCCCTTGCTCCTCGTGCCCCCTTGAGCCCCCTCCCCCGTCCCATCTGGCCCGAAGGGGCCCCGAGATACCTCACCTGCCCGCGAGAGCCCCAAGAGAAGCAGTGGCTCAAGAGGGATGCAGGAAAGCCCCCGGCCCGAGAGGCCTCCTATGCTACTCCCCCTCGTCTCCCCTCCCCCTCCCCAGGGCGTCCTGCACTTGCACAGGTCTCGTGCAGGGGGCGTCGTGGAGTTTCCAGCCCGCTTTGGGGGCAGGCGTGGCAGCTTCACGGACGGAGCCCCACAAACCCTGAGGATCGCCATGAACAGAAGGAATCTGCGGAAAACGGTTCTTGAGGTTATTCTCCGTTCTGGGCCTTTCGGGGCTATCCCAGGTCCCTAGGACTGACAACATTTGCTCGACATGTAAAAGCGATCTCGGAGGACCCGTGCCCCTCAAGACCTAAGGACCTCCCTTGTGCCCGTGAGGAGGCTTAGTGTCCAAGGAAAGGCGAGGAGGCTACCACCTATGGAACCGTTTTGCCCTTTTGCCCCAGACCCGGCCGAAGGAGCAGGAGATCCCGCCGGGGTATGTCCCAGGCGGCCTTTTCGCCAAGAAGGTGGGCGAGAAGATTACGACCCCGAACGGTGTCATCTACGAGCCCATCGAGCTGGGCACCGATGGCAACTCCAACCGCGACGGGCCCCCGAGGTCAGGTGCAAACCTCGAGGTCAGGTTCGTGGGGCGGCTTAACGGCTTCGACGGCCCCATCTTCGACTCCACGTACTTGCGCGGGCAGCGCAAGCCGAACAAGGCTCGGAAGCGGAAAACGTACCGGTGTACCTTTCCCTCGTCTGCCGCCGCTTGGGCCTTCTGTGGGGCGCTCGTCACCACGGCTGCGTTCGCCTCGGAGACCTGCTTGGCCGGAACGGACCCCAGGAGAGGTCTGGGAAATAGCGGTATCGGTGCCTTCCCCAGGCTTCAGACGTCGTGATTGTTGCGATACGTGGCCCACGGACCTCTCGACAGCATCCCTGGCATGGGCTTGTCGTCCTGAGCTGTTTTGTGACGGCCCTAGGGCCCGGAAAGGCCCCAGAGGCCAGAAACAGCCAAGCCGGTTCCGTCGCGTTTGTGTGACGACGCGAGGAGGCACGGGCTTGTCCCCTCAAAGGCGGACTTCATTGAGGCGAGGATCAACGTGGACCCCGGCGTCCACAAGGGGATGTGCGAGGCGCTGAAGCTGATGAAGGTGGGCGGCAAGGGGCGGGCCATCATCCCGGGCGCCCTGAGCTACAGCGAGGGCAAGACCGACTACGAGGGCGACGAGGACTGGGCGGCACGCGCACAGCGGTTCACGCTTTTCCTCCTCAGCGAGCGCTATCAGGAAATCAGAGTGAGGGGGTCGAACGGTCATTCATTGTCCCTGCGTGCGTGGGTGAACAAGGAATTCGTGGTGTCGTCCCACCCGCGACCCACCCACGACCCACCCCGCGACCCACCTCGCGACCCACCCGCGACCCACCCCGCGACCCACCCTCAAGGGAGGAAAAACCACCCGGACCCGACAATTGACGTTTACTAAGCGGACTTGGGCGTTGACTAAACAGCCTTACCCTGTTCGATTCATTCCTTGTGTGCGTTTATTAAACAGCTTCGCTTGTCGGGGTGATTATTGTGGGGTGGATGCTCTGCCCTCTACACCCGCGACCCACCCGCGACCCAACAGCGACCCACTCGCGACACACCCGCGACCCATGTGCCACCCACCTGGGACCTACCCACATTGGCTTAACGAAAAAATCGGCGCCTGCGGTGGGCTCGTTGTATAAATTGTGAAACTTTGGTGCCTGCGGCGGGCGCCTCCAGAGTCTCGCAAACTGCCGACGTCACCACCGCCCCCTCTTACCCGTATCTGCGGGGTGCGACGTAGTTTGATGGGATCCTTTGGTCGACACGTCTCCACTGCCGGCATGTCCAAATACCCACGCCCCGTGCGCGAATAAAAAGCCATGGCTGAAGGTTTCTGGTGCAATTTGCGGCTTCTGGGGGCCGTAACCAAGACCTGGGACAGCCACAAAAGATACAGGATGAACGCCAATCCGGGGGAAAGGACCGAGACCTCCAGGGGTCACGCTGCGAAGCAAACCATGGCGACGGGGTTGGGGTGGGGCGATGGGGGTGCGGCCTCCTGAGAGTGAGGAGGCGGAACAGGGGCATCCAGGATCGAGGTTTCCGCACCCAGGCGAGGAGGAGGAGGAGGAGGAGGAGAAGGAGGAGGAGGAGGAGGAGGTTGGGCGTGCTTTTTTTGGGGGGTGATAAATGGGGGGGGGGGGGGGCAGCGAGGGTTTCAAAAAAGGAGCCCCCATTGGGGCCCCGAAAGAGGCCCTTTCGGGCCCCAGAGGGGGCCCGTGGGGCCCGAAAAGGGTACCTTCACCCCCCCCCACCCTTCTGTCGCTCGCCCATTAACTCGCGCCCTAGGAGGGCTCAGGGGCGCGCGCACAGAGGGTTGTGGCGAGAGGAGGGCGTTTTTTTTTGTTTCCTGCTGCAGGGGACGTCTTTTTCGTCCGAAGGAGGCCGCATCCCGTCCTCCTTCTGTTGTGCACGTCGCCCGGCGAAGCCGACGGCAGTTCCTCGTCGGAAGCGCCGCGGGCGTCGTCCGTTTCAGCGAGGAGCGCCCGCTCAGCAGCGGCCACGGATCATTGCGGATGGCACGCGTTGTTGCGCCCCATCCCAGGCGTCCAGACTCACATGCTGGCCGCCTCTTCCGGGAGGCACCCTGCCCTCCTGGAAGGCCTGCCACCCCTCCCTTGACAGCCTCGCGCCGTGAAAAATCACGAAGGGGGGGTCTTTGGCAGTTTTCGGCCTCCAGGGCTCGTCACCGAGCCCCAGGACTGCAAACAAAGCGACTCAGGACGAGGAATCCGTCTCTGGGAAGACGTTGTGAACAGATCACGATGTCGGATGCCTAGACCGCCCAACCCCTCTGTGCGCGCGCCAGAGGACGGCGAGTACAAGGGGAAGGTGAAGGCGGACCAGACCTTATACTACGAGGTGGAGCTCGTCCGCATCATCAAGCCGTGAGCGGCCCATGAGTTTTTTGACATTCGCCGTGTCGATGGCAGGCTCATGGGTCGCATCCATCGTCACCCCATAGGGCCCTAGGAGAGGAAGGAGGGGTGGAGCGAGAGGGGGAGGACAAGGAGGAACAGGAAAGGGGGGCAAGAACGGCCGGAAGAGGAGGGGAAGGAGGAGGAGGAGGAGCAGGACAAGGGTAAACCACATATGCATAACGGATGCTGTAATACACCCTCGCGTTCCAAGTCCCCTCTTCGCACGCGCCCGCAAGCCTTCTTTTTCACTACAAGGGTCGCCCCTCTGAAAGACCAGCACACAGCTGGGCTTGCCATTTTGGCAAGGGCCCCTCTTTGAAAGGCAATCGCTTTGCGTCCTATTGGCGCGCACTCAGGAACGCGAAAGACAATGACCATACAGTTCAACGATGTGTCCAGCGGGATCCCCCTTTCGAGGCGAGACCCCATCCATGAAACTGTTGCACGAGTTTCCACGTGTGGTCATGAGCTCCGAGGAAGGCTCAAGCGACAGCTCCGTTTTGCAAAAGAGCCGCCATGGATCCGTGCAGCGCTACATGTGGTTTGAAATTTCTGCTCTTTTTAAGAAACTGCGCGAAGTCTCAGGCGACAGCTCCAGTTTGAAAAAGAAGAGGAATCATTCTGCAAGCCGCTGCATTGGAGAGCGAATGAGCGCAGCGCTGTGGCGAGAGCCCCATTTTCAGAATGACCAGTGCTGAACCCCTGACACTGTTGGACGATTTTGAAACGAACGCTGGCGGCGGTAATGCGAGAGCCCCACTTTGGAAAGGAACCGCCCTCCATCCGCGAAATGATTGCAATTGTTTTACATGCAGGGCATGTGCGCGGCACCCAGGCGAGAGCACCATTCTGGAAACCACACCCCTTGCATGGTGGAAGTTGCTGCAACTGTTCAGACTAATGTTGGCGGCGCGAAAGCGAGAGCCACATGTTGAACATGTCCCCTTTCATCAGGGAGCTTGCTGGAACCGCACGAATGCGCGCGACGCTGAAGCGAGAGACCATGTTGAAAACCATCCCCTTTCAATCCGTGAAACTCTTGCGAAATTTTAAAGACGAATGTGCGTGGCTCTCTGGCGAGAGCCACAGTCTGAACCACCCGTTCATCTGTCCGTGAAGCTGTTGCGGTTTTGTTGCGGCAATGATGCGCGTCGTTGGGGTGAGGGCCTCATGTTGAAAACGATTTCCCCCTGCCATACGTGACGCTGTCACGGAATGTTGCGACGGATGTGCGCGGCGTTGAGGCAAGAGCCACACCTTGAAAACGAAGTCCCCTCTATCCGTGTAGGCGAAGTGTACAAGACGAATGTGCGCGACGCGAAGGCGAAAGCCACGTTATGAAGACGGCCCCCTGTCCATCCGTGAAATTGGTGCACTAAGCATCGGGATCACACATGCTGGGGGAAACTTAGGCGAAACGCCCAGCCCGCAACACCGGCAAGTATGGGCGTGTGACAGGGGGGTGCTTAAACGGAACATGTATGGGTGAAGGGGCGGAAGAGGAGGAGAAGGAGGAGGAAATGGAGGGGATGGAGCAAGAAGGGGGAAAGAAAGAGACACGCTCGGTGCGATCGCGTCATATCTGACGTCCTAGCCCATCCTCTCATCCCTTCCCCTTCCGCTAATTCCCCACATCCAAAGTGGGGTTCTTGTTTTCTCTGGACACCCCGCGCAGGAACAGGAACACACACACACACACCCACTCACACTCACTCACACTCTCTCATCATCAACCTCATCAGCATCATCGATGATGCTCTCTCACATGTTTAGTCACTCACATACTCATCATCATCATCACTCGCACTCTCTCGCACGCTCACGAACATCATCATCATCATCATCATCATCGACATCGGCATCATCCTCATTCAAACATCATCATCGCCACCACCACTCACAATCAATCATCATCCTCTTCACCACTCATCTTCACCACCACTCATCATCCTCATCCTCATCATCGTTGAGTAAATTGTGAGGAAGTCTCAGGCGGGAGCCCCCTCCCTATGGGGCCCGCAGATCATGTTGGTAATCCGAGCGGGTCATCGGAATCCTGTAACTGTCGTCACTTTTGAGCTCCCCAGGCCTGAAAATGGAGGAAGTCTCAGGCGGGAGCCTCGTCTGTGAGTGAATTGGGAGGAAGTCTCAGGCGGGAGCTCCCTCCCTATGGGGCCCGCAGATCATGTTGGTAATCCGAGCGGGTCATCGGAATCCTGTAACTGTCGTCACTTTTGGGCTCCTCAAGCTTGAATTTGGAGGAAGTCTAAGGCGGGAGCCTCGTCTGTGAGTAAATTGTGAGGAAGTCTCAGGCGGGAGCCCCCTCCCTATGGGGCCCGCAGATCATGTTGGTAATCCGAGCGGGTCATCGGAATCCTGTAACTGTCGTCACCTTTGAGCTCCCCAGGCCTGAAAATGGAGGAAGTCTCAGGCGGGAGCCTCGTCTGTGAGTGAATTGGGAGGAAGTCTCAGGCGGGAGCTCCCTCCCTATGGGGCCCGGAGATCATGTTGGTAATCCGAGCGGGTCATCGGAATCCTGCAACTGTCGTCACTTTTGAGCCCCCCAGACCTGAATTTGGAGGAAGTCTCAGGCGGGAGCCTCGTCTGTGAGTGAACTGCGAGGAAGTCTCAGGCGGGAGCCCCCTCCCTATGGGGCCCGCGTGATCCATTGGGACGCACTCCCATGCGCTTCCACTGGGAGGTGCTGCGACAGGGCGCCGAAGGCGCCGACGACGACGGCCAGGCCGAGGCGCGGGCGCGGAGCTTGCTGATGTTCAGGCCCAGCGGAAGGGAGTTCACATGGCAGAGCTCGGGGGCGCACAGCGTGCGCCGCTCGGGGTTCACCCTGACGCACGCGTCCTACCTGACCTCCACGCTGTCGCAGGGCCAGACGCTGCGCAAGGGCGTCACCATCGACTGCGCGAGAGACGAGGACGCTGGCCGCACGGGCATGTCGGACGAGCAGTGGTGGCTGCACCTCTACGTCATGTTCTCCCGCGCCACGTGCATGCGGAACATGCTGATCCTGCGGCCGCCGCCGCGAGAGTTCCTGGAGTGCGGGCCGCCGGCGTCCCCTGCGGAAGGCGCTCCTGGAGTTCGACAAGAGAGCGGTTTTGTCCAGGGCGGAGGCGAAGCAGCTCGCGGCAGAGCTGGGCTTCGTGCTGCCTTCCGCCTGAGCGCGGCTGCGCCTCGCTCGAAGCCCGCGGGGTTGTCCCAACGGCTTGGTCTTGCGCGCCAACGGCTCGCGGGGTTGCCCCGACAGCCTGGCCCGCGGGGTTGTCCCAACGGCTGCGCGACGTGACCAGTAGAGAACGCGCCTGTGCTGGCCGTGGCGGCGACGGCGCCGAGGAACATCGACATGCGCGCTCGTGCAACAGGAAGGGGAGGAGGTGGCGGGGCGCGGAACAAACAGGGGGGCGAGGATGGGGACAACGTAAGGAGTGGAAGGGGGGCCCGCGCCAAGGCGAGAGGAAATATACGCAGAGACGACAGCCAGGACGCCTCACCAACCACGAGGACGACGGTGATGTTTTTTTTTCCAGATTCGCCCAGAGGATTATTATGCGGGGTTCTTCCGTCGGAGTAATGTGTTTTCTATCCGCGGAAACGTATCATAGCGGACCTGGAATTCGTGGTATGCGTAGTCCGAGAATCTGAGCCGCGTGCATGGGAGGGAGGGGGGAGGATCAGAAGGTGGAGGACGAGCAGGGGGATGAGCGCTGGGAACGGGAGAAGGACGAGAGGAAAGAGGTGAAGGAGGACGCTTCGAGCAGCAGCATCGTGAACTGGAGCGGAAGGAGCGGGAGGACCACGGGCGGAGGAGGGGCAAGGGACGACAACGATCAAGGATGACTCGGATCCAGAAAAGTGCCCCGCGCGGGGCAAAGAGCGCCATGCTGAGCGACGGGAGCAAAGCGCCGATCCGAAAAGGAGGCCCACGCTGCAGTGAGAGCACAGTCTCGATGCGCTGGAAACAACGGGTTGTGGGTCAATCGTGCGAAGATCGCATGTGATTTCTTGTGGGTCGAAAGCGATGCGCGGAGGGGGCGGGATACCTCCCGCACGCAGTCCGGGGAGATGGGAAAGTCGTACTCATTGGTGTGTATACGTGCTGGAGCAGGAGGCAATCCCCTGCCTGCTCTCTTCTCTCGCCCCCTCGCCCGTCCCCGCTCTCCTCAGCATACTCATCCCCAGGGGCTTCTTCTTCCCCCTCTTCCTCCTGCAGGACGTCCAGAAAACAGGGGGGGACGCTGCGAGAATGGAGGTCGGACCTCCGTCGTGAAGGTCTGGGAGATCGGGGCCCTTCGCCGGGCGCGGCGCGAAGATCTTCGCCCTTCGCGCGGCGCGAGGCGCGAACAACTCGACCCAGGCGATCCTCCTCGCCCTCGTCATCGCCCTAACCCCCCCCCTGGTCCCCCCCCCTGCTCCTGCTGGGGTCTGGCCGCCGCTCCTCCGTTTCACGCTGCGGCGCGGCCCTGCTGCGATGATCCGCGACGCTCGCGGACGCTACTTCGTCGCCGCCGCCCGGCGGAGAACAAGCGGCGCGCGTGCCCTGGCTCTTTGAACGACGGTGGGGGATCGGAGGAGCGGGGGGGGGCATGGAATGGAGTGGCTATCACATGGGCTGTCGGAGGAGCGGGGTACCGCCAGAAAAGTATATACAGACACCCTCCACTGCATTGCTCCTGGGCCTCAGGGGAGGGTGGCCGCGTATAAGTCACCACTGAGAGCCATCGACTTTCTACACCGTGCCCTGCCTGAAGGTACATGCAAAGCTCGTCGGAGGGCGTCTGTGTGTATATATATATATATGTATATATATATATATATATATATATATATATATATATTCGTCGCGCAGGGGGGGGGGGGGGCGGGTCCCCGGGGCCTTCCTGGAGCTCTCTCGACAGCTTGGGTTCCCTCGAGGCTTTGTCGGAGCCGCCTCGCGGCTCCCTCGCCTCGGGCACGTCT